ATATATATATATATATATAATATATTATGCTGCCAGTTGTAGGACAATTAATCCTAGAGTGAGAAAGGATTTTTCTAACGATGTAATACTGACTAAAGAAATTTTAAAAAGTAAAATAATATACGCCATACTTAACATGTCTTAATTTTGTTGCAGAATGTCGTTACCCATAGTGTTTGTAACGGGCAACGCGAAGAAGCTGGAAGAATTCATCGCTATTTTGGGAAAAGACTTTCCTCGATGGATAACGAACAAGAAAATTGATCTGCCTGAATATCAGGGCGAAGTAGACGATATATGTCGAGACAAATGTCGAGCCGCAGCAAATCTAGTGAAGGGCCCAGTGATTATCGAAGATACATGTCTCTGCTTTAACGCGCTGAAGGGTCTTCCGGGACCTTATATCAAGTGGTTTCTCGAGAAACTGGGCCCTGAAGGTCTTCATAGGATGCTCTACGGATTTGAAGACAAATCAGCAGAAGCGGTTTGCACATTCGGTTATTGTTCTGGTGAAAGCTCTGAAGTCCATCTATTTCAAGGTCGAACTCAAGGCACCATTGTAAGTCCGCGAGGTTCCAGAGATTTCGGCTGGGACCCTTGTTTTCAGCCGCTGGACTATGACAAGACTTACGCAGAACTGCCGAAAGAAGAAAAGAACAAAATTTCTCATCGCAGCAAGGCAATAGAAAAACTAAAAGATTATTTGATAAACAATGAGAATATTTAATGTTTGTAATATATAATAAAATTACTATTATAAAAGAAACTATCATGAGATATAAGCTTCATTTTTTTCTACACTGCAAAAAAACTCCAGGTGATTGTTCTCGAGTTGATTATATTATATAGCATTTTACAAGTTTTTATATTAAACTTATAAAATTTGTCTATGCTGATTTATAACTAATTTATATTAATGCAACTATTTTTATGATTTTTTTTTAATCCTGGAGAGTGGCGAGTAGGCGTTGTTTTGTCTTCACTTTGTAATTTACACTGTGACCTATAATGTTAACGTTCGATATCCGTTCAATTTATCAAAGGTGATTCTTCGCCGAAAACAAGCATTTCGACGTCTTGTCACAGCGATAGCCGTTGGGCAGCATATGGAATGATTTGTTGACAATCTTGAAGCTACCATGAGATTAGACTCATTATTGTGACACATTCTCACGACTTAGAATCTGATAGCTAAGATAACTTTAATTTCTATACGTCATACGAATGTGTTAATTAACGACTTCCATCTTGCAAATCTTACGTGACGCAACAAATTGAAATATGAAATCATATTTTTTTTAATCATGCAGTGGTAGATATTGTTAATCATGTAAACCGATACTTTTCGTACACAAGCACTCATAATTAGAACTATAAATCACATGTACAATAATAACGATGGATTACCGCCACTGTCTAATTACTTTTCTTTACTAATAACACGATTATGGCATATTGAGTGAGTGACATTAGACTATAAATTAGTAACTTTGAAATGGTACTTACCAGTATTAATACCGAATTTAAATATGCCAGTTAAATATTGAATATTAAAATATAACATTTCTAAAATAAAATTTATTAAAGTAGAAAAATATTTTGTACACTTTAATTGTACAATATATAAAATTAATAAAAATACATATTACATATACGTATATTATATACATATTTTTATAATGTGTCACTTAAAAATTTTATTTGATGTGGAAGAAAAAGCCTATATTTTTAATCGATTTTTATATTTAACATTTATATTTAAATATAATTTTTAATTATAGTAAATCAATAATTAAATATAATTAGTTATTGATTCAATCAGAGAGTCGCATTAGCATATCTTAACATATAATACTTAAAACCCACGCGATCTTAAAATAACAACGGACTATACACATATAAATACTGGCCTAAAAAAATATATTTGAAATCAATCAGGGGAATATATATTATAATAATACTATTAGATTCATCTTTAATATAATAAAAATAATTATTCTATATATATACATTTATGACATATTTTTTGGTCAATTTAAAGTCAGTATTTTCTTAGTGAAAATATTTAAGTATTAATAATTTTCAAAATATAAGAAATTACAAAAGAGATTTTACAAATTAACTTTAAAGAATCAAATAAATACTAAATATTTACATATATTTTTCAGTTAATGTTAAATAAAATTTGCTTTTTTTCAACACAACTTTAATTCGACGCATAAGTTAAAAAGTATGTTGTAAAAAATAAGAAAGTTGCAATAAATTATGACCTCTCTCGATATTTTTATACAGAAAAAATTGAGTCCAAAGAATCTGTCAATCTATTAATAAAAGGACATTCGGTCGTTCAAAAAGACAATCAGTATAACACCGAGACAACAGATAAATATACTTATTGGTGTGTTATTATTATTACGTAAAAAGCGCTGGTAAACAGGCAATCATTTTTTGCTTTTTATCAAACTGCCAATGATTATTTAATTTATGCGATTAAGGGAAAAATTGATCAATATTATCATTGTAGAGAGCTATAATTATTCGTGATTATCTTAATTAATATAAAACATTATAAAAAGACAAGCAAGAGAACTATTAAATAGCTTTGCTACAACGTGAACGCATTAAGTAATAAAAGCGAATTTAATGATTGATAAAAAAAACTTTAATGATTAATAAAAACACACACAACACACACACACACACACACACACAACACACACACACAGAGAAATGAGCAAATCGCTTATTAGTTCCTATTGCATTAAATACATATTATCTTTTAAATATATAGTCTAAAAGATATAGTTTTAAACATATCTAAGAAGGGGGACATTCAAACCTTTTCGAAATATTTTTATTTTCTCATTATTAATTATAAAAAAGTGCAGCTTTTGATTCAAAGTAAATTTGTTATTATAGAATATTTTTTCTTTTTATTATGTTTATGTAAGTAATGTATGGAATTTCCATTAACTTTGACAAAGTGCTCGATTTTCATAAAGAAAATTTTCGTCTCTGTAAATCATTAATTTTTTTTCCTGAAGAAAATGTAGGTAAAATTTTATATTAAAAATAAAATGTGTAGTTGTGAATGAAGAAAATCATACTCATTACTTAAAAACTTTTTAAGCAATTTTTTTAAGTAATGAGTATGATTTTCTTCATTCACAACTACACATTTCATTTTTAATATAAACTGTATTTTACCTACATTTTCTTTAGAAAAAAAAATTAATGATTTACAGAACTTTATATTTTTTTAAAAACAGAAACGAGAAGAAGACATTTAAAGCTTATAAAAAAGCAAAATTGACGCAAAATTGTTGTTTATGTGATAACAAAATTAACAAAAAGTCAATCCTCAAAAAATCATCGATACATCCATGCACTATTTCCTTTATCATTTTTTATCTAATATTACAATATATCCTTTTTATTGTTTCTATGCTAACGATCACAATAACTTTTTATATATGTGACATAAAATTGTAATGCCATTCCTCTAGTAAATTATTTTAAAATTAATAATACACTTTTTATATCTTATCAAAGATTTTTCTGTTAAGCATCGTTATTTCTTTTAACACTTTTGTCCCAGCTATTTACATCTCGTCTTTGCAAAATCGACCTCTTACAAAATTTTTGGTCTTTCCAGTACTTTTCTCATTTTGTTTACACTTATTGCTTTTTTTAATCTCGTTATCGTCAAAATACCGGTCACTCGAACTACAGAAATATTTGACAATCATTCTTTTCCGGTGCATACAAATCACTGGAGAACAGTGGTGCATGTAGTGCATAGCATGTACTCAAAGATAAAATCGCGAATTGCATATGCAATTTAGACAGACAGAAACGAAGTTTTTCCTGGTGAAAAAAATGAAGTGCTGAGATGAATTATGATCAATCTGATGTACGAATTATTTTTAATATACATGCATTCGTTTTTAATGTGTAAATAGCTGCACCGGGGCTTCTTGACCCCAAAAGAGTTATCTCCTTGATTATACCGGTATGATCCTTTTTTCTCTTTCTCTCCGTAACATGTAACACCCTTTCATCGCAGGGTTATCGCGTTGCTTGCACTTTTGCATTTTACCGGCAATTGGAGAATTTTGCGCCTTATAAAAGCAGGAGAATCTCGCGTACGCTATCAGTCTTACATCAGGGGCCACGCTATGATGAATGCCCTTACTGGTAAGTCGCCACCGAATGCGAAGAAGTGTTTTTGTGCCTACCGTACCTATTTCAAGGTATCTATCATAGAACATGTCGGAATGAATTCCGATCGGAATTAATCCATTTTCCCTAGAAAACACAATAGAAAGTATCTAAGGAATAATTGGATAATTCCGACTTGTTTCATGATAAGTACCTGAATTAACCGATTTCGCGAGTTGCACTCCGACGGAGTTTACCTCTTTTTTTGCAACTTGACAAGTTCAATATGTATAATATACTTATGAGAACAAATGCCTTGTCCAGTTTTACATCAATCTGATTGTCACTAGTTTTACTTTTCTCAAATTACAAAACATTTCAACTTCATATTTCTGAAAACATCTCAAAGGAGAAAGAAAAGATTTTTATGATTTGTGAATTCTGATAAAGAAGTATCTATCTGAGAAAGTGTAATTGACTTCGTATAGCGTTTTCAAATATATATTAAAATTTTATAATTACCTAATCAATATTAATTTAAATTTAATATTTTCTTTTAACTTAATTTTTTCTTCACAGGTCTTAAATATTTTTAATACGTTATATTATGTGTATGTAATGAAATTATGTTTTTAGTATTTCTGCTGTGCCTAACGGCCGCATATGCGGTACCAGGTAAGAATTTAAATGTATATTTTCTTATTTTACTTTTCTTATTTAATAAAACACTAAAAAAATATTGCCAATAAATTGGTATAAGCAAGTTGTATTCTAAATAATTAATATTACATTTTAATAATAGTTAGGTCATTTCTTCGGGAAAATTAAATTATTTTGCGTATCTATTAATTCGCGCTATATTGTGGACCATAAATGATAATAATTCAATGAACACTTTAATGATTTATTAAATGTAAAATTATTTTGACGTCTTTTTTTTTTTTTTTTTCAAAGTCACGGATTATTATGTAATATTTAACAATGGATAAAACAATACTTGCTTCAATTGACAAATAAGTATTGTAATAATATAATTCAAAACAGAATACAATTAATAATATAGACGTAACATTATAATGGACAAATATTTTGTGATAATTTATATCGATATATAATATTTCAGTGCACTTTCCTGCTGAGAAAACAGTTATTTACAATTACTATGCGGACGTAAAAGCTGGGACTGATGAGCCAGCGCAATATGTCTCACAGTTTGCTCTTACTGGACAACTTCACGTAAAAAAGGATGTCAGCGATCCGACGTTAAATAATGCTTATTACATCAAATTAAACAACTTAAAGTATGGCATGTACAATGGCATGGTCGTGCATCACCAGCCGATCGAAATTCTCCATGAACTCGGAGAAGCCGCACAGCAAATTCAAGAACCATTCGTGATCGTTTATGACGAATATGGCAAAGTAAATGTCTGAATTTCTAATCTGTCAATTTAACATAAAAATTATTCACGAAAGACGAGTGACTCGAACATTTGATTTCAGTTCCAGGGGATCAAAATACCAGAAACTGAGAGCGGTTGGTCGAAGAACATCAAGCAAGGTATC